GCGGACTCGGGGGGGCGCCCGGCAGCCCCGGGACTCACCACATGGCTCTCGTTCAGTTCTCCGTTTTCTGAGCTCCCGTTGCTGCAAAGGGAAGAGCAGAATGGTTTGCAGCCCCTGCCCAGAGCTGCGTGCTCTGTGGGTGGCAGAGCACGTACAGGACAGGTGACCTTACCGTTTGAGGTGATCAGGTTCTCAGCCTGAGCCTCCTCATCCCCTGGAGCTCTGCAAGAAGAGGAGCACATTGAGAGTGGTTGGGACCTGCAGTCCGTCCCAGGGGATACCTGACAATGCAGGGGCATGCCCTGCAGGAAGGTGCCCTGGGAGTGTGCAGTGCTGCTTCGCAACCGAGCAGCTCTGCAGCTGAAGGTCCCTGTGCGCTGGGCACCAGGCACCCAGAAGGGATGGTCAGAGAGCACAGCCACTGTGCCAGCTGCAGAAGGATCCTGGGAAGAGCTGAGTGCCAGGCAGAGGCAGATGCTCCCCACTGCAATGCCCTCACTCACCTGGGCTTCTGGTTGAAACTGCACCTGCACCTCCTGCCTGCAAAGGGAGAGAAACACCGTGAGTGGGGCCAAAGCGGGAATGGGCCATAGCCTTCCCCAACCACTGCCCCCTGTGAGAATGGCCCCCACTGCCCCAGCCTGTGAGCCCAGAACCCCAGTTTGGTCCCCAACTTACTGAGAATAAGGAGAATGCCAACGGTGAACAGGACAACCGCAAACACCAGCCCCCCGATCCTCAGGCTCTGGTAAGCTGGGGGGAGGAGAGACAGGAGCTTGTTGCTGCTGGATTCACGGAAGGGGGCAGCCTCTTTTGCTCCCCATCGCACATGCACGCACAACCCTGCCAGCACACCCATCCTCCTGCCTGGCGACGCTCACCATAGTTAAAGGGGTCCTCCTCCTCCTGGGTGGCCACTGGAAATAAGCAGATGAGGTCAGGTGAGTGAGCCTCCCGGCTGAGCCCTGGCATCCCCACTCCCTTGGATCGGAGAGGTGGCTGCCCACAGGCGGCACCCTGATGCTTTTTCCCACGCCACTGCCATCTCCCGGGAAGCTCTTGGCACCTACCGTCTGCCACAGCCGCCGGCACGAGCAGCGAGCACAGGACGATCAGCACTGCCTCCATGGTCCCTGCAAGAGAGGGGAGAAGAGGGCTTCAGCACCCAGGTACCTGATGGAGGGCACCCTGACAGGGTTGGGGTGCACAGGAGGGGTGACAGGCAATCTGTATGGTGTGGGCAGGCAGGGCTGCACAGCCCTTGCAGCCCACACCATGGGAGAAGGAGCCAGGCTGGCCACCAGAAACCCCCAGGGCCTGGCCACGGGTCCTGGGGCTATAGCTGTGCCCAGCCTGACATGGACACAGTGGCTCACAAAGGAGAAGGTGGCTTTGAGCAGGCAGCCAGACCTTTTGTGAGGTTCCACGGTATATTTCCAACCACCTCCGCACCGAGCTTAGATCTCGCCGCAGTGTCAGGGTTGCGCTGCAAGCAACGGGGCCGGCACAAGGGCTGTGATCTCTCTATCAAGGTCAATACAGTGCTCTTCACCCAGAGCATACTTTAATTTGTCCCAGTTAACACAGCAATTACGGCACACTCCTACAATGAGGCCAGTGGCCCTGGTGGGACATGAGCTCGAAGCCACACTTGTCCCCCTAGCTCCCCACACTCACCTGCAGTGTCATGCAGGGACCATAAACACCCCTGAGACCCCCTCACAGCTGAGCGCACCCCTGTCCCTTCAGACACGCTGCCCTCGTGCAGGGGCACCTGGCCGGAGCACGGACCCTTCTCCGAGGGATGCCAGCCT